TCTCAGCAGGGAGCTGGGGCAGGTTTGGGACTGCAGCTAAGCAGCCTAAGGAGGGTGGGAGAAGTAGGGGGTGGGTGGCACCCAGGGCTGAAAGTGGCCGGGGGGGTGAGCGTGCGTGGAAACAGTGTGGGGCAGGACAGTCCCCTACTTTGAGGTGGGATCGGTGAGGTGGAGGGATCCCACACCTACCCTGTGTGGAGCAGGGGGTGACAGCTCGAGACCCAGGAGGAAACCTGGCAGAGCAGTGTACAGGGTGGGTGGGTGAGCCTTGGCTGGGAACAGGACCTTCAAAAAGTGGCATGGGCCTCAACATTCCACCCAGCAAAACATCCTCTGCTTGCTGGCCCAAAAGCTGCAAAAAGCTGCAGATCAGACCTGAAGCCCTGCAAGAAATACAGAGGTGTAGGCTTGGCCTGGGAACGCAATATTAACATGGAAACGCAATATTAACATGGTGCCTGCAGCTGATGGGTGCTGCATTATTAATTTCCCTTCCCCAGGCTCCACTACCCCCTCTGCAAACCACAGTCTGCTGCAGAGCTTGGCCCTGAAGAAGGTGAAGAGGCAGCTGGAATGCATGGGTCTGCTGCTGAGGGGCCTGGGAGAGACAGAGGGGAGAGGAGGAGGAGGAGGAAGCCCATGTGTGTGTGTGAGAACAAGCGTGTGCGTCGCGGCTGCTGCTGCTCTTCCTTGCATCTGAGCAGTGAGAGATCTGTGTGGCTGTGCTCCCACTGAGGCAGGGCTGGGCAGCTGGAGCAGGGTTAAACCCCTTGGGCTGGCAGAGGAGAGACACGGGCAGGGCTACCTGCAGAAGCCCAGGGGCGAGGGGAAGGCCTGGATTGAGGAGCAGCAGGAGGGAGGGAGGGGGAAGCACGGTACAGGTATGCAAGTCCAGGGGAGCAAGGGGGTACACGGGCACTGGGCTCAGAACAGCAGGGATTGGGTTTAGGGACTCAAACCCCCTGTACCAGAGCCCACCTGGCTGAAGCTTCAGCTCTTCCCAGTCTCAAGAGGGGCCCGGGCACTCTGCTGCCTTCTCCCTCTTACATTCCCCACTCCCCAAATACTGCCTGTGGAAAAGGGGGGGAGGTTGCAGCAGGTTGGGGACCTGGCTCCACACACAGGGAGCTCCATCATCACACTTTATCAGCAGGCAGAGCTATCAGCAGTAAGAGCTCAGGGCGCTGTGGAGATGGGAAATTAAACCAAATTGGCACACGATGACACCAAATTGTTAATTACTCTAACAAGGTCCAGTGGCAGCCCTACAGAAAACGTCTCTCCCCTTCTTCTGTGTTCTTCTGGTGCAGATCAGACACGTCATCACCCTGTAACTCACTCCCTGACGGCCTAAACAGCAGGTAGCATTTTTGGAGCAGGTCTTTGCTGTGCTCCAGTACCCAAGCACAGCCCTCTCCCGTTTCAGCTGGGGTCTCTCCCTGGCTGCAGGCAGCTGGTACGTGGTTCAGCACGTGGGCAGATGGCAGGACACACCTGACTGCTCATCTGGAGCAAAAACGATGGAAACAAAGCAATCCTACAAGCTGCCCAGGACCCACTTGTTCCTCCTCGAGTGCTAAATCCCTCCCCCAGCACATCTTGGAGGAACGACTGCAGAGATCCCAGCCTGCTGCCTGCCCAAACCCAAGAGTTGGAAGGGGAGAAAGGAGGACTAGAGCTTTGGTCAGCCTGTGTGTGACCTCTTTCCCAAACCAGCTGCTGGTGGCACGGGTTGCCAAAGGCTTTGGGAAGTCCCCTGCTTTGGTCAAGAACTACAACGGGAAGATCTGCCAGGGTGATGGTGCTGGACCTGCAGGAGAGGCGGAGGAAGCACTTTGGGCATACCAGCAATCATCATCAGGAGCTGCAGCCCTTCAGCACCTGCACTGAGACTTCAGGGAAGACACAGCAGAGCATCTGTTCCCAGCAAGAGAGGATGGGGCTGGGCTGCAGCTCACAGATGAGAAAACACGAGCTGGACAACTACCCACCCCACTGCAGGACACCTTTATTGACACAAGAGACGGTTGCCAGGGCTGCCGCGACAGCCACAGCTTTCTGCAGGCTTTGAGGACCTGTCCTGCTTCCTTTTCCCCTGGCAGAGGCACTCGGGCACGGGCAGGCAGGGTGCTGGAGGAGGTGTTCCTCAGGGCAGGGCTCCGTGTTTGCGTCCCACCTGGGTGAAGGCCTCCACGCAGCGGTCGATGTCCTCGTCGCTGTGCACGGCCGAGACCTGCACCCTGATGCGGGCCTTCCCCTTGGGGACCACGGGGTAGCTGAACCCAATGACATAAATCCCTGAGGAGGAAACACGTGGAGAGTCAGAGTCAGATGGGAGGGAGGCAGGCTGAGGGGGTGGTGGGTGATAGAAAGGGTTTGGGGTCCTCCCTCCCCTCTCAAGAACCGTTTCCAGGCTTTGGGGTTTTCAAGTGGTGTTGGAAATAAAGGTCAGGGCCAATGATGGGGATAGAGTCCAGAATGGCAGGACAAGAGGGTTGACATAAACCCTTCCACCAAAAAAGGAAAGAAGGTGAAGCCAGCAACATCTGAGGGGAACCAAGAGGACGTTTGCAGCTGGAGGGCACAGAAACAAAATTTCATGCAGGAACATCCTCTGGAGGAGAGATGGTGGGGGCAGCACCACCAGCTGCCCCTTCCCTCAGGGTATGTGTCTGCTGCAGAGCTCCCTCCCTAGTTCACCTCTGCTCAGCATGTCCTCAGCCATCACTGCAGCCAGCCGAGCGTCCCCGAGCATGACAGGACAGATGGGGTGGTCCTTCCCTGAGATGGTGAAGCCAGCTGCTGTCATCTTGCTTCTGAACCTGGTGAAGAGAACGAGAGGATGAGTAAAACTTGGTCAGCCCTGTCCTTGAGGACCACCACCTTGCTTTCCCCAGGGGCATCCTGGCCATGGAGGGCGGGGTGTGGTTCTGCTCCACCTGCACCTCCTGTGTAGGAGATCTACAGTCTCCATCTGTCTACACATCTGCCTAACACACAGGGGTACAACCTGTGGTCTCCCCTGAACATCCCCAGCCAGGACTTCCAAACTGCCTCCAGAGCCATCACCGGCGGGTGAACAAACACACGTGGACCACCCCATTCCTGAGGAACCTCTCCCCTTGCTCCCAGCCCAATTCAAGCCCCTCACCGTTGGGTCTTGGCGGCCATGGACTGTGCGATGGCGTTGCTCTCCATGAGGAGGTCCAGGGCCTTGGAGGCACAGCCCACCACGGCGGGGGGCAGGCTGTTGGAGAAGAGGTACGGGCGGGATCGCTGGCGGAGCAGATCGATCAGGGGTTTGGGGCCAGTCGTGTACCCACCTGGAGGTGGAGGACAGAGAAATATGGACAAGGCACCCCGGGGTGACCAGTTCAGAGGGGTGTCCCTCAGTAAAGCCACCCCGTCAGCT